AACAAATGTGAGAAAATGTGAAAGAGCGTCTAGTTGCAACACAGGACCTACCCTATAAGTTAATAGTGACGACAAAAGCATATGTTATAAAAGGCTGAGGACTTTGGAATTTCGAGATCGCCAGGCATAAAGCCAACTATATGTCTTTCTAGTAGATCTACATGTGAAAAGGTATGAGGATTCTGTTTGCATGTGCTTTCATAGAGCTCTTGGCATCATACGACAATACTAATTACACCTCATACCTCCTTATCTTTTTCTCAGCAAGATATAAAGCATGTAGGGGTATGTGGAAGTTCAGCCAACTTTCTGCAAAAAAACTTTCCCAGAGAAAATAACACAAAATAAGGTACGTATATGCCAGAAGTTATGTGTGAGTGCGGATTTTTTCTCAATACGAGCTCTTGTATTTAGGAATCGAAAAAATGGCCAATATCATTGACTTCAGGTTTAAAGTCCACAATAAATCGGATGAAGAAATCTTCAAAATCAAAATAGCCTGGCAGACATCGGTCAAAGATGCCATACCCACTATTAAAAAAGAAATGGCAACACGATATAAGCAGGATTCTGACATTAAACTTTACGTGAAAAACCCAAACGGGCCAGCGAGAGAGTTGAGACCAGAAGATAGGATTTCTAGGCATTTTAATATCGATCACATTGAAGATGGTCTCATCCTCATATACCCCAGTAGTTAGAATTTTTCATTCGTATCATGTAGCGATATAGTCGCAATTTTTATGTACTGTAGGCCGAGTTTCGGCAACGATTTATTTTATTAAATAAAGCAGTTATACCCGTTAACGAGTGTTCGATAAATGTCACGTGCGATGGTGCAATATCTGTGCGACATAAAATCGTATATTAACATCTGCTAACAGAAATAATTTTTATTCCACATCGGTCCTTCGGTCTCACTCCGAACGTAACACATTTTTTATCCGAGCCAAATATCACTATAAAAGCGCCATGTCTACCTCAACAACTGAACACGACTCTTACCTGGTTGAGAACTGGGACACAGAGACCCTTATCGTACACTTGAAAGAACAGAACCTCAATCATTACATAGTGCGGAGGAAGAACCTGACAGGAAGAGGGTTAGGATAGAGGGTTATCGTTCGAAAAAATAATTAGCCGTAATTAGCATAGATATCATGTATCACGGGTAATGTCCTGATCCACTGTATTTATTTTTATCTCTGTATTAATAAAGCGAGACTTTGGTCCCTCCCCAGACAAGACATGATCAGTGATCGGTGCATTCGCCACACATAACATTGAACAATTCTTTGTCATGTAAAAATTTTATCAAACATGTCAGTTAACGAAGCTAACCCAACCGAGCTTGATTCATTGAGACAGCGTATCACTGAACTTGAGGCTGAACTTGAGAAAAAGAATGTCAAGCTTGAGGAAGAACGGAGACGATCTGACAATAAACTTATGAAACAGATTAACAGGCTTAGGAATAAGAAGGCTGTCCTTCACGCCAAGAATTACGATCTTGAAATCGAGGTAGCGAAGCTTAGGAAAGATCACTGAAGCAGAATCAAGGAATTGGAGAAGAAAGCTTGCGAAGCCTCTTCGGTGGTAGCTGTGTCTGATTCCAGAGAAGATCAACCCAGCGACGCTTGCTCTGCAGAGGATGGGGATGGTAAGGTTTTCTTGCTTAAGGGATTTAAGAAAGGGGCAAGCGGGGATCAGTCAAATAATGCAAATACTAAGTTAACCGAGGATGACCCAGTGAATGCTTTCTTGATCAAACAGCATAAGAAGAGCATGGATGAAGAGATAAGACAGAGAAATAGGGAGAAGAAACTTGCCCTTCAGGGCGAACTTCAGCGTGAATCTACTGCTCCTTCAGTTTCTCAGAATACTGCATCTGAAGAAGCAAAGTTAGAGGAATCACGTGATACAAAACCTGTTAACAATGTTAACGGGTTTTCTGAAAATCCGAAATTGACACACGAGACAGACAGTACCTCGCTAGTGCAGTCTCAGAGTCACACTACGAAACCCACTGAAAAAACGAACATAGTAACCGAATTTGTAGAAAATTTGTTGCAAGAACTTTTATAATCTGGAAGTCAAGATCTGGAATCTATAAAGTTTTCTAGTCCCACTACATTACCCGCATCTGTTGGTCTCGAGAAGCTCGCCAATTTATTCTATCAAGCAAATAATGCAAAGGAGAATACGATCAAAGCAAAGCGAACAGAGATTTCATCTTGGTGTTGTTACTCTGAAAGATTCGAAGACAAAGTCGTTGAGCTTAAGTCTGAAGATAAAAAACTTATGGATCAGACTGCAAGAAAGCGGATTTATAATGAAATGAAACCATTCCTTACGGGTGTTTCCGACGGATATCTACGTGTGATGACCTGTAAAGCAAGAAAATCAATAAGCTTTTTGGTTACGAATATGACCTTGAAACTTTGGAGAAGATTAATGGTATAGGATGTGATATGATCCATCGAGTTTCATGTAGTGCTGACAGTATTTCAAGACTCACTAATCCTCAAATCGAATACATCATAGAACAGGTCAAATCGAAGACAATCACTAGTCCTGTGAACGAAATCTCCAAGACCGTGGCTACTACTTCAGCTAATGACCCCAACTCAGATGATAAATTTAGTGATACCTCAGATGTTACAGATTATTTTAAGGAAGAAGAAGAGACGAATGAATCAACTGAAGTAAGTGCTCCAACTATGCCCATACCTGAAGAAAATTCATCATTATCAGCTGATTTGGAGGATTATATAAAAACGCTCATGGGAAGTCTTGACGATGAGACTGCTAATTGGGGTACACCATACGAGAACTCGGCTAGGGTAGTGGAAGAGGAAGCGAATGAAGTTAAGGAGTCTCCCAGGGTCCAGTCAAACGATGATGTATATTTTGATGAGGAAGTCGATCATGATACCGCACCCCATCCAGTGGAAGAAACGAATGATGATAATGACTGTAGTCACGACAACGATTCTGAAGAAGAGATGCCAGATGATTCGGATGATGATGGATATAATGGATACGGTGGATATAATGAATATGGTGAACGTGATAGAGGTATTACTATCGTGACGGAAGATACGAAAGGAAAGTCTCACCAATGATGAGCCCTATTATCTCTCTGGTATATGCTTAGGAGAATTATCAGGCAGATTACATACTCGTAAGTCCGGCTCGTATATTTTATTTCTTTTTTTGAATCACGTGAGTGGTTATATACCATGCGCAGTAGAGGATACTTCGACATGTGGAATCGATCACCTGCCCTGAAGGACGCTCTGTCAGGGCTGAAATGCGCAGAAAAGATATCAGACCATTTGGTGTCAGATTACAGCGTGACTTTCTTAATTCGGTATTATCATTCAAATCTCGGGATGCTGTGCGTATTTCACTGTTTCTCATATATAGTGTAGAGAAATTCTGTGTATTTTAGCATAGAAACATTCTTGCCGAAGGCGTTACAAGCAAGTTACTCGATGATATGTACCTGTCGATTCAAATCACCTGATTAACGCTCGATCAGAAGGAATCACGGTACAAGCATAACCCAGTCGAACACTTGACAAACCTCAAGCCTTGATTTAAACCTATTGTTTATGAAGTCAAACCTGACCGTCTTAGAGCGTTTTACATACTTGAAATTCCGAAAAAGTTTTAGGGAATTGATAATTATAATTTTGCATTAGCTCAACCGTGGGATTCATCATGCCCTATCTGAGATGAAAACATGGGAATTATGGATTACGTGGCGAATGGTATAAAAATGAAACGGAATATTGTCTTACCTGCAACAGTTCAAGCGATAAATTCAAGTTTGTATGGGACGAAATAGATCATGTGAAATCGATCACCTGAAATGCGCAGTACAATATCATATTCATAGCTCGGTTAAAATTATCAGATTAGAGGTTTTAGGGGTAGGGCTGTGCGACATAAGATTTTAGCCTAAGATCTAATTACTACAAACAAATGAAACGGACTATTGATGGCATAGCGAGTATCAGGAGGTGGATAGGATAGACGCAATAAGACTTTATTATGTATCATTGTATTAAGCGAAGCTGTATCATGATCTAAGATCCGATATGTATTTTTTATTTACAATCAATAAAGTGAAGATGCATTAAGTGCAATATATTTACATGTAATATTCCGCATAGTATGGTCGTGGGGATTGAGATATCGTATTTGCATCCCAATAAATGCGCAGTATAATATTTGGGAAAATTATTCGTAACATCTTGTAGACGCGCAATATTCTCAAACTTTCCCGCAGATACTCGTAATAATAATAATAAAAAAGACCCCCTTTGTTGATCTAAGGCACGATCCTATATTAGCGATCAAGGCTCGATTGACTGCGTAACTGATTAATTAATCAACCTGTGTACAATCGATTTCCTTATATACTGTAATACTGTAATCAGTTTTTCGCAAATCCTTTCTTTTCCTGAACTTGTCCGTACAAAAAAATGTCCGATCAAATACAAACTCTCAGAACATTAATTAATACTCTCGGTTTCACTGAAGAGGAAAAACTTGCTTTACGAAAATATTTTATTGGAAATGAAAAACGACAAAATGACGCGCTGGCTTTCCTTCCTGATTACCCAACAGATGACGCGAAACTTGTATTCTTGAGAACTCTAATCTCTACGCCCGGTATGTTCTCTCGCAGGAGATTCAAAATATAAAATAATGTGCTTGACTTCGTTATTTCTTTTTCTCTGCCTGCCTGTCGTATTCGCCAATAATACCCAAAAAACACATTCGCGTTATCGTAGAGCAACCCGTTGCTGGTAAGTGAGTCGTAATAATTTTGGTCAACGCGAGTGAACGTGAAATAGCTTGATAACCATCTTCATTCTCTTGAATTTCCAGCTTCCGTAGAGAATCTTACAAATCTCTTTGGTCAGCTGGTATGTTTGTTAATGTAATGTACTGCAACATTGATACGCAATATTCACAGTGATTTTTCCTAGAACGTGTCAGGTAGCTCCTCCAGTGAAAATGCATCAGCTTCGCTACTTGCTTTGTTAATGAATGTTGTGAACGCAAACTCAGACATTATGAAAAAAACCTCGGAAGTATTGATTCGGCTTGAGAAAAATAGCAGGCTTGTTACTGATGACTTCGATACAGGTACTGATTTTGATGTATAAAATTTGGGCAATTCCACGTGTATTAATTCTGTATTTGTACATTTCAGGCTCCAAAACATGCGCAAGAGCTTATCAGGAAATCACTTTTGAAAGAGCTGACGTAGAATTCTTTTTAAGTAAGATGAAGCAAGGTACTTACCTTAGTAGTTTTGCTGGTAATGGGTCTGTCGAAGCCTACCTGCGAAATAATCCCGTACCAACTGAAACAGAAGATGAAGTTCAAAATTGGTTTAATGATCTGATGCCAGAACTCCCAAAATTTAATAAGAAATTCATTGTTGAGGATACACACGTTAATCCATACCTTGACGGATTTAAGCCGGATTTAAGCGTCTTTCTTGAGGATGATGCCAGAAATAAAACTTATATTCCTATGTTTGTGCAAACTCTTTTAGAGGTGAAAAAAAGAAAGAGTGCAAGTGGCTTAGTTGACGAAGATAAGGGCCAATTAATAGATTACATGAACGTCCTTATTTAACAACAGCCATTACGTGAACATTTTGCGTTATTTCTATCGGATGGATTTCGCTTCTATGTAATGATTTATGAAAGGAATACCAAACGATATAGAGACTTTACGACCAATTTCAGGACCGGATTGCGCCTTTTTTACGTATTGCTCCAATATGACTCATCTTATACAAGAATGGCTAGACCTAGAAACATCAGATTTTACACAACACCCGTGCAGTACACAAATATACACCCGATGGAATTTTTAGGCCTGGGTTCAACTTCGACAGTATATAAGATTAATTACAATAATACTCAAGTTGCTTTAAAGCATTCTCAAAGTGTTGATCTATATCGTGAGGCACAAATTCTACAATTTTTGAACGAGAACAATATTCAAAACATTCCAAATTACATTACGCATGATAACCATTCAATAATTATTTTCCCAGTTTGTAAACGAATTAGTAAAGATCATTAATTCCGGTCATATCACGCTCTACAGCTCCTTCGCCTATTGAGACGTATTCATAGTTTAAAGGTTTTTCATCGCGATATTCGTCCAGAAAACATCTTGTTAGATACTGTCAATAATTCGCTAATTCTTGCTGACTGGGGATCATCAATCCGTAATCCTCCTAACGATCAGGTGCCCTATGAAGGAACAATTTCATTTGCTTCACCGGATATTCTGAATAACGATCTGGGATTTCACCAGCCTAAAGCAACCGACGATCTTCATTCTTTCGTACGATCAATGTACGCCCTACATAATCTACTGAAGGTGCTGACTATTAATCCTAATGAAACTCTCGTGTCAAAAGCACAGATTATCAGAAGATTCTGGGGTGATAATGTGAATGTTAAATTGGATGGTGTATTATAGAGAGAGATGGTAAACGCAGCAAACAGTGGAGATTATCAAATACTGGAAAAATGCTGTTACATTTTTAAATCATAATCGTAATTATACATGGTTGATATATAGATTTAAAAGAATTAGTAGATATGTTGCATTTGCGGTAATAATTAACTAGACATGTAAAATCAAAAACATAGATTTACATTATTAATAGATATGTTGCATTTGCGGTTAATAATTAATGTAATTAAAACAATTAGACATGTAAAATCAAAATTAAGCAAAATAAAATTGTCTTTATGATTGCAATCACATATTATTTTTATATCACAAGTTCTGGGTTAGGGTGGTGATTCCTGAAGCAAAATGTTCTGACGAAGCTTTGCGAAAAAGGATGGAGAGATCCGAAAAGGTTTATAAGCATCTTAATAGTATAGGCAAAGAAAAAATAGCACAGATAAAATCCACCCCTCCAGGTTTCATCTTAAATCTAACTAAGGATGAAAAGGATTATGTAATGGCCGAAATCTTAAAACGAAAGGGTTGCTAATATACTGCGCCATTTCTTCTGCGCAATTAAGTCGAACCCAGATACCGTGTCCAGACTCTACCACCAGAAAAAACAGAATTTCGTTCACGTGTATTCTCAAACATATAATAAAGCATTTGCATATCCCGCCCATATTGGGCTTTATTTTTTAAATGTGTATAACTGATTGCTAAACATCATGGAAAATAATTTGCCGAGCCCAGACACCGTGTCATCAGATAGTCATATATACAATGACTTATGAAGTGCCTTAACGGCCGGCTATTTCAGGAGATAAATTTAACCGGATGCTGATCCTGGTTCTGCATAATTTTGACAAGCCCGGACAAGCAGTCCAGACTCTACCATCAGAAAAAAATAATATTTTTGCACGTGCATTTTATTCGTAATTATTTTCCCGAATTCCCGTTAGGCTTATATCCGGCCCGTTCACTCACTGCGTTCATGCCCAGAAAAAATCTGAATTTTTGCGGGGATGATCGTGTGAATACTGTATATGTTTTATCTATATCGAGAGTATGGACTTATCGAAGGCACAGGGATCAAAGTCGGATTAAAGTAGGATTTAGCGCCTTTTTTATATGCGGTATTGTAAAGCATAATTCACATTGTTATTAATAAAGTTTTGCCCATATCGGGCTCGCTATTTTTATGTAATAAAGTATAAATAAAAAAAGTTTAGTCTCGCATATTTTTTTAACTTGTGATACGATATACGTCATAATACCTGTTAATCACGAGAGATCCACAAACCGATTTATA